TAAATTTTCAACAAGGATGATAGTCTTCATATTCAGAAAGATACTCCACATTCTAGGTTAGGTTTACTCTGGTATCTTAAGGCCTTTCAAAGTGGACTCTTGTTGCTCCCGAAGAATCTATCACTAATCTAGGATGATTGATCAGGAATCTCCCAGAGGGAGTGGACGGTGTCTACCTCGGAGTACCTGAACAATGGCTCAAGGAAGACAAAGAGGGTAAGCAGCAGGTTATGTCAAAAGAAGCAAGCTGGGTTTTCTATAAAATTTTAGTCTTTGGCACACAGGACAGTCATATTATAATTTTTCCCCAGACACCTGAAGTGTCATTATGTATCTTGCTTCTACGAATACGTAAGTACAGAAGCACGATTCATTAAGTAGATGGACGATGAGGGCGGAGAGGAGGAGCACTCTCAGAAAAAGCGGCCTACGCTGTAAGAAACCATACCACACAAAAAGAATTTTCAGTGACATCCAACTCAAGTCTGCCCTTCCAACAACACACCACAACTTTCTGGAAGCAAAAATGGGAAAATGTGCATCTTGTTGTCAGAAGTGACAGGAGTGTGGCCCAAGGAGAAGCAGCCATGGGCTTGTCTCATGTGCATTCCAAAGGTTAGCTCTGGACACGGGTTTGCTTCCAAAAGCAATTCAGCTGTCACCCAAAATCCTCAGAATGTTTCCCCTGGGGGCACGATTACAGCAAATGAAAATTCTCGAACATCCCTACATCCTGCCTAGGAGCAGGATGTGTGGAACTAGCAGTGTGTGCTGCACCCCTGACCGCCAAGACCTCTGCTGTCTTGAAAACACTAGATGAAGGGTCTCAGCGGAGGGGGATTCCACACAGACTCCATATTTCAGTTTTGGAAATGGAGGCATTTTCTAGAAAAAGCCAAGGCTTTTCGTGATGCTAGTAGGTTCTGGAAAATTCCAGCAAGTGACTAACATAAAAAGAGTCTGCTATAAATTTTTAGCCACTCAGGATTTGACTTCTGGATTAATAATTCAATTCATTTTAAGAAAGAAGGGGTAAGCAACAGAAAAGTTATCACACCTATCACCAAATGCATTTTCTAAAATTATTCCATTTTTTCAGGGTATAATTATAAAGATTTTTATGAGCAATTTACCAGAAAATTAAAAGTCCCTTAGTTTAAAAAACAATCATTCCATCCCTCTGGCAAAGGATTTTATCCTAGCCAGTAGCTCTTTCAAACTATGGGGCATCACTTGTTCACTGTGGAGAGCCTGAGTTAGAAAAGTTGATCTAGAAAAGGTTATAAACTGCCAGGCAAGAAGGGTACCTACCAGAAAGTGAATCAGCCAAGACAGAAGGGGAGGAGTGGAGGCCAGGCACTTTGGTTATGCTTGTAGAAGTCCTCGGGGCTACAAATAAACTACAGGCCTTGTTAACTGATTTTCAGTCAATCTAAACTGAGCCTCCAGGGGGTTCAATCTCAACCCAACTGAGCTTTTCAATGTTAATCCCATCTTTTGGTTTCGATTTTTCCCTTAGGTCGGCCTGCCCTAAAAGCCTTCAACTTACACATGGGTGTTCCAAACCAACTGCGTGCCACGCAGCCCTGTAACGATAACTTTAGGAAAGTAAAATATGTAAGCTTCAGCCCTGTAACGATAACTTTAGGAAAGTAAAATATGAGCTTCTCGCATGCATAGAATAACGAGATTCTGGAAAAGGGGTTTTAATAACAGTTATGTCACAATGCTTACAGCCCCCTGAAGTCCCTGAAAGCCTTGTTAAATTAAAGATTCACTGTGGTTTTTTTCCGTTTCATTCTTACTTCCCATGTTGCCTCTTGCCTTTCTTTTTTGCCTTCCATTGTGTTGTAGAGATGGTACTGAACAACACCAGCCATCGTTAATACCACCCAGAAAACGGGACAGTTTCATTACAACTGCTAATGTTCCCTGCTAGTTTTAAGCACGGGGGAGGTCCGTCTTTCAGATTACAAAGTCCCACGTCTGATTCTGGTAGCGCAGGCACTAAGGGGACGCAGCCCATTCACACGGGGACTCCCAGGAGTTTGGCATTCAGCAACAGCTTCCAGTCTACCTAGGTAATGTCTCATGAGGTCACCTCAATGTCATGAGAATCCAGACCACAGTTTCTGGGGACTGCAAACACTAGTTGGCTGGAAGCAAACCCTGCTACCTCTCTGGAAAGCATCTCCCAAATCCAAGAGCTTCCCATTTCGCCCAATGCCAAGAACTCCATTCAATCCTCCTTGAGGTTGAAAATGCTAATTATAAGGTGATGATGTTTGCTTTTCCTTTTGAGTTGTGTGCCTTTCTGTTTTAAGTATTAAAAAGGCGTAATCACCTAGTGTGTAGGTTCATTTCTTTCCAATATTGTAATTTATGCAACATTAATACTGGATGCCAGCTCCAATTTTCTTGCTGCTTACACTCTGGGAGCCGACTTGCATATTCTGCCAACTCCATTACATCATCTGAAAACCCAAACATTTCCCATTTTCAAATCACTCTCATCTACCAGGCATACCTACACTTTCTCTCTTTTTCTCCCTAGGTCACACACACAAAGATTGGTATCCCTGAGGAGCAGACACTACATCTGAGGTTAAAGTCTGCAAATGCACATAATTTCTGGAAGCTATTACTACTGCTGTGTTAGCTAAAGGATGCCTCCATCTCTGACCTTCCTTTTTCCATTCAGACTGTTATATAACCTAGTGCCTGCGTGCAGGATGTGAGTTGAGTGTTTGGGCCTTACCTCTTCTCCCTCCCCCTAGTAAATCTCCAGAGAGATGGATAAGGGGTTGGTTCAAAGGAGAGTGAGCGGAGGGTGACCCTCTAGGGGACAAGGGGACAAAGGTCAACAGGTCAGTTGTACAGGGTGCATCCCACCCCTACTTTGTCCCTCTCCCCTTTTTGCTAAGCCTGGGGGGCTAGTGGTACTGAATGCCTCAACGTTATATAATTTGCAAGAACAGCAAGTTACAGATTTGATAGTTGGTTCTGCAGCCTGCCACCCTGATCTCTTGCAAGAACACCTTCTGGCAAGAATGACACCTGAAGATGCTAATAACAAAGGGGAGGGGTAGGTTACGAGAGAGGGGGGTGACAGCACAAACCACAAATTAGTGTGGCTTCTTATATTCTATTCCCCCCCTTAAAAAAAAAAAACTCAGAAACACATGAAGGGGATTTTCTCCAGTGTTTCTGATTAACCCTGTTACATAACCCGCTCGCATTCCAAATCCACCGTCTCAGGGTCTAAATATACTCTTTGCAGCCAAAAGCTCTCCACACACAAACTCACGGAGCTGGCGGCAGGACCCGGCCCCTGGCCCTGATCCCCCTCCCTTCCTAGCCCTTGCTGCACCCCCCTCCCGCTGAAACCGCGGTTCCGCGTGTTCACTCCTCGGAAATCGCCTTTAATTAAATGTTTTTCGTGTGTGTCATCCTGATGGCTTTTACTGTACTCGAATTCCGTGAATGGGAAAGCGCCCGGACAGGGGGTGTGGCTAAGGGGGGGGGGGTGAATACTGTAAAACAGCCAGCACATGATCAGCCATATTCCTACCTCCAACTATAACATCGAGAGGAAGGGAGCGGCTCCCGGGCCCCCACTCGCCTCTCTCCAGCCCTCCCCAATCGCCGCCAGAAGCCCAGTGTCAAGAGGAGGGGGCGCGCTGGGCCGGTGCCCAAGCCCGGGCTGGAGATCCTCCTGATCCCCCGCCCTGGGCTGCTCGCGCGAGCCCGCTTCCTCCGGAGTGACAGGCGTGATTTATACATTATTTACAACAGTAATTAAAGCCGTAGCTTCCTTCTGTTCTTTGCAAACTCCAGGCGCAATCAAATAAATAATCCCCCACCTCCAAGAAAAACCCCCACATCAGGTTCCGACACCTTTAAGAAAGAGAGAGTGAGCTTTCCCCAACACTCGACTTTAGGAAAAGGCAAGGAGGGGGCAATGGAGTCTCCCGGCCCCCCCTCCCCGCACAAACGCTCCAAAATGAAGTGTAAAAATCGCTCGGGGGATGGGGGGGGCATCTCTCGCACTATCCAACCAGCATCCAACTCTCGCTGACCATTCCCAGGTTCTTGCAGAAACGCTTGAACCTCAGAGAGGGAAGGATTCCCAGGGCAGAAATAAGTTTGGGTGCATTTCGAGCTTTCTGTTTCTGCTTGTTTGCTTTTGCAGCCGCTCACTCCGAATGCGCGTGGAGCGCCCCACAGCACCACCGCCCTCCGCGCGCTGGCGCGCACACGCCCCCCGCCAGCGAACCCCGGGTCTGCAAACTTGAGGATCTCCCCTCGTCGCGCTCGCCAGACAACTTAGCGAGCACCTCACGCTCCCGTACCCCCCTTCCTCCAGCCCTTCCTCCAAATCCCAAGCCCACCGTCGCGTTCCAGAGAAGGTGCCCACGTCGCCCCCAGATCCAGGAGCGCCCCCTCTCCACCCCCGGGGCTTCCCAGGTCGCTCACTCCTCCCGCACCCCCTCAGCTCTGCGGGGGACCGAAAACACACCCCGTCTGGGGCAGCCAGGGCCGAAACTGTCAAGAGGAGAAAAGGTAAAGAGGGAGGAGGGTGGCCATAAACGGATTTTTTTTTCTTCTTAAAAGGACACTGCCGCTTTAAAAGTTTCTTTCCCGGGCCCCCACTCTCCGGTTCTCCGTATTTTGGGGGAGCGTATTTAATTTGGACTACGCGGCTTTCCTCCTCTCTTCGCAGAAAAATCAAAGCCAGGGGGTGAGCCCGCCGGCTGTCAACCCTCCTGCCTCCTCCCCCGCCCCCCTCTCCTCCCGCAACCCGAGAACGGGCTGCAAAAGTTTGCAACATTTCTGGGGGGCGGAGGGGGGAGGGGAAGGGGGCTCTCCGGGCTCCGGGCGCCGCTGCAGGCTCGCGCGCGGCCCCAGACCCCACGCTCTGGGCGCCCGCTCCCGGCCGGCCCCCGCTCTGCTCCCGGGCTCCCGCCGCCCCCTCCTCAGCCCCTCTCGCAGCCTCCTACCTCTGCTGGTGCTGGAATAGCTCTGTCTGCGCACCGGGGCGGGCGGCTCGCTCTTGCGGGCGGATTCCTGGTTCAGCGGGGTCTCCCTGGCGCCGGCGGCCGCGTCCGCGCCGCTGCTGCCCGGCTCGCTGGCGGCGGGGTCGGGGGCTGCCGGAGCTGACTCCATGTTTTTTCCCAATGTAGAGATCGCTGGAGATGGCGAGCTCCGAGACTCCCTCTATCTTCTGTTTTCAGAGCAACTCTATGGTACCAAAAAAAAAAAAAAAAAAGGGGGGGGGGGGGGAAGAGACCGGGGAGAGCTGGAGGGAGAGAGCAGGCGGCGGCGGGCGAGCGAGAGCGCGAGGGAGCGCGCGGAGTGTGTCTGGGTGGACGTAAGTGTGCGCCCGAGAGGGGTTGGGAGGCGGGTCTGGCCACCGGCAGCGCTAGCGAGAGCTTCTCCAGCCGGCCCCCACACCCACATTCCCCACCCTCCAGACCCCAGACCGAGAGCCACCGACTGGCTGCCAATTTGGGGGCGGGGTGGGGGGTTGGAGGGGAGAGGCTCTCTTGCCCCGATCCTCCCCTTTGCCCAGCCCAGAGACAGAAAGGAGGATCAGCGAGATAATCCTGTGCCTACTTCTGAGAATCTCTCGGGAACAGCACTCGTCCCCATCTGCAGCCAGACTGAGAAGAGACAAATGCGATCATCCACGTTGGGGAATCGCAGGTAGCTCCCTGCCAGCCCACCCCAGAACTGAGGAGAAACTAAAAAGGAATGCGACCTGGCCCAACACCCCAAGAAGGAGGAGGATGGGGGGACGTGGCACTTTTTACTTCGGGATGGGACGCCCAGTGGGTTTCCAGACTTGGTTTGATACATCTGTGTCTAAAAGAGGCTTTAGGTCTTGAACCGCCCGGTACAGCCAATTTTTGGTGTGGCTGAAAGAGGTGGCTTTCAGCCCCTTCCCTGCTTTCTCTGAGAAGGATCCAGAAACCACTTGGCAGGGCAGTTTCTACTGAAGAAAACTTTGGCCTGTTTGGTTGATGACTATCTAAGCTGGTTGTAATATGGCGTACTGCATCTAGTTCTGTGTGGCTGCTAATTGTCAATTCCCACTGGTAATCTTACTATTAAACCTGCAGTCTCATCCATAAAAGATATACTGGAGAGGCATTAATAATGCCTCGGTGATAAAGTTCAGATAATTAACAGCTCTTAATAAGTCACATCATTGTAGACATCATTCTGCACCTCCCTTCCATTGAAACACACCCATCACATAGTAGGTGTTTAATGATATCAAAGGAAAGTAGAGAATTGCATCAATATTACCTTGACCCCAAACTCCAATATGAAGGGACAATACAAACTAAATGAGTAGAAAACATTCAGGTGGTATTAGCCTGACTTCTCTGTCTCAATGCTCAATTCACCAATTCTTCCTGACTGCCCAAATACTGATGAAATCAGTACATTTTTAACATACACCCCCACCTTCCTTTCAGAAAGCTCACAAAGTTTGACAATAAAAAATATTATTATATACCAGAAGGTGGCATAAATATGTGTATTTAGGGGGTTGGGATGGGAGAAAGAAGTAGGGAACATTTTCCTTTTTCTACCTTCCTAGTTTGGAAAAAGGCTTTTTAAAAATGGGGGAGGGGGGCTTGTTAGATAATTCCTTAAGATGAACCTCCATGTGCCAAACTTCACACATGATTTGTGTTACTGTTACTGATATTGGTCTGATTTCAAATACACAATTCTCTTTGCCGTGGTCTGTGTGTTAAATCAGCAAAACCTGTCCACTCTTCGGAGTGATGTAAATGAGATGTGAACGGTTCTGATACCTTAATCCAGTCTGCAAGGATCCCTGGCTTTAGCCTGTCTGTTGGCGCCTACAAACAATGTCCCGATTGTCTCCTCCATCCCAAATCAGATGTGTGGGTTCCCCCATACATCAAAGCACAGATTTCTAGAACAGCCTTCACACCATTTACAATTGGTTAGCCTGTTAATAATGTTCTTGATGTAACTGACTTAGCTTGTCACTCTTGACTTTTCTAAGTAAACAAATATATCAAAGTGCACAGTTTCATAAATAAGCAAGGGCCTCTGGAGAAGCGAATATCTTAAAATATATCCGCTGCTCCATATTTATTTTAAAATATTTTAAACAATTTTCATATTAAATTTCACCAATAATTCTATTTGGGATACAAGTGGCTCAAAACATATCCCCGGCTCCTTTTTAGGTACCAGTAGCAACTCATTAACATTTTTCTGGTTAAGTCTATTCCCCTGAGCCTTCAACTGGTTCCTTTCCTGTTCTCCTTTGACTAAGCTGGTATTTGTTCACCCTGGAAAGACCTTCCTGAAAATGGCCCTAGTGACCTTAGTCAATTAAGACAGAATCCATATTCCCTTCAGCGGCAAATTCCAGCTCCAAAAAGCCATTCCTCCTAACTCTCTAAAACAATTACTGCTTCTGCGATTTAAAACAATTGGGACCGAAAGTGCTTTCCCCAAGGGAAAAATAAAAGTGAGTTAGATACATTCCTTGACTGTCAATCATTGTTACTAAAGTATAAATTACCCAGATTGGGGAAGCATTTGAAACCTGGAAAGCACAGTGATTAGGTTTATATATTTTCCTTCCCTCATGCCCCTTGTCTGCTTACTAATTAAGGCTTTCCAATTTTTCAAATATTTGGAAAGATGGAAGCCTTCCTTAGTCTCTGCTCGTTGACAAAGGGCAATAATGTTTGCTTAAAAATGGTTATTTTACTTTGCACTACTGAGTTCTCTGACAGGTGATGGCTTAGAAAATCTATACTTTGTAGAAGAGATAAGCCTAAATCCATTTTTTGCAGACTGTTCTCTCCCTTCCCAAATTCTCCAGGACTCTCCCTATCTCTTTACCAATCCCAGGCTTCCCTCTTGATAATACTAGTTTTTCTCTTATTCCGACCTAATTCCTGGGAACCTCCAAGTGAGCTTTGACTCCTCTCTCTCACCACTGGCCCTAGCTCTCTACATCTTCACATACTTGCCAAGTGCTTTAAATTCTACCTCTGTGACCTGTGCCCTTCCTTTCCACAGCCACCTCTCCAGTTCCAAACATTGTTCACCTACACCATTACAGTAACCTTCCAAATAACTGGCCTTTAGTCTTATAACCATTCTAATCCATCCCAAATAACACTTCCAAGTTAATTACCCTGAACTACAGCTCTCATTTCCCACCATGTCACTCCCCTGCTTACAAGACTTTAATGGCTCCCCATTGCCTATCCAATTAACTACTAACTAGTCAACACGGTATTCAAGGCTCTACCTCGCTTATCTCTGCACTCTTGCACCAGGGATGGCAAATTGATCTCATCTCATGAAGGAACTCCAGAGGTTGGTTGGAAAGGTGTGGGCTGTGATTAATTAATGCCGTCTCCCATGGGTGGAGGATTGGGACTGTGACACTCATGCAGAGTTTGCCAAACTGCCTTACATCCTTACATAATCCCTGCAATCCCTATGTAATCCTCAGACCAAGCCACGTGCTGCTTCCTATGCTTCCTCCTGCTTGTAGTGCGGGAGACGAGACAGGGACAGGTGCCTTTTCTCCCCAAATGCTCTTCTTGCCTCCTCTGTCTGCTGAAACCCTACCTATCAAGGTCCATTCTGAAAGGCAACTCTTCTGTGAAACCTTCTCTGATTTACCCCAAACCAAATATTTGAGCTTCGTACTGTTGACCCTTGAACAACACAAGGGTTAGGGGCACTGACCCACCGTGCAGTCAAAAATCCACATGTAACTTTTGACTTCCCCAAAACGTCACTAAGAGCCTACTGTTCACTGGAAGCCTTACTGATGACATAAAAGGTCAATTCACATTTAATATTTCTATGTTTCATATGTGGTGTTCTTGGAATAAAGTATGCTAGAGAAAAGAAAATGTTATTAAAAAAATCATGAGGAAGAAAAAATACATTTAGAGTACTGTACTACATTTATTTTAAAAAAAGAAAGAAAGAAAGAAAGAAAGAAAGAAAGAAAGAAAGAAAGGAAGAAAGAAAGAAAGAAAAATCCACAGATAAGTGGCCCCGTGCTGTTGAAATCTGTGTTGGGCAAGGGTCAACTGTACTTTGCACCACTCCTCTTAAGGCACTTGGCACACTTTATCTGCTTTGTGCTGTTCTTGGTTGAACATTTGCCTTACTTTTCCTGGTAAAAGATATGTTCCCTGAAAATAGGGACTCTGCCCTTGCACATAGTAGGCACTCATTAGAATTAGTGGATTTGGGGATTGATAAACTAATCATAATGTAGCATGTCCACACAGTGCTCCATTACACAACAAGAATGAAAACCTAAGCATTTCAACTTTCAATCACTTGAAATAAGCATTTCCTTCCTGGATAAAAGATTAGTTGACATGTATGGGCTGTTAAAATTTATATATGCAAAAAAGTTGACAGTTATTTTCTTTGCATTTCGTGGAGAGGGAGAGCAGGAAAATTATGGAAATATGTAGTAGAATATCCTCAGGAGAGGGGAGCTTTCTACAACATGCCTAAGAACAAAGAAGACAGAAAATTAAAACCGAGTCCCAGACAACAAGTTTCTTTTCTTTCAAAAAAGGATCAAGAAGCTGAGGCTGAACTCTTCCGGAAATAGACGAAACTCAAATGAAAAAGCAGCACTGCTTTTGGTATGGGAGGGGCTCCGTCCTGCTGCAAGGTTTGGAGGTTCGGAGGCGGCCAGCCCCAGACGCGAAATCTGGGGTGGGAAGAGCCCACTGTTCCGATAACAGAAGGAAGCCTGTAAACCTGAGGTCTTCACAGGTGGGAACAGGAGAGCCAGGCTCACCAGATGCTAGGAAATAATTAAGAAGATTCACTGCTGCTGATCCCCTGCAACTCTCTTCCCATTCTGTGAAAGAGGGAACTCAGATGCAGAGGACTACCTTGCTCCAGACCACCCAGTTAATGAGTGGCCTGACCTGGTAGCCTCAGAGCGGGAATTCCAGACCCAGCCCTGCCACTGAGGAGCGGTGGGTGGACAGTAAGTCATAATCCTTTCTAGGTCCATTTCCTCATCTCCAAATGAGGGTTGATAGGAGGATAGATGAGATGGTCCTTCCAGAATGTCTGCCACTCAAAATTTTGCTATTATTCTTAGTCATCTT